CACACACACACACACACACACACACACACACACACACATATATATATATATATATATATATATATATATATATATATATATATATATATATATATATATATATATGAAAGGAAAACAGCCACAGTAAGAAATTATTCAATTTTGTTTCTTACTGTGGCTGTTTTCTGTGTGTGCGTGTACACACACATGTGTATGTGTATATATATAACCAATATATCCTAGAACATGTTTCCGGTTCGTTTGTGCTTTTATATATGTGGAATATGCTTGTGTTTAGTTATTCATTGTATGCATGTATGTGTATTGGTATCGAAGCGTCTTAACCTACACAAGGAATCCTTTATTGAAGAAGTTGATTTTCACTTTGGGAATAATTTAACTTTACCTTGCATTTTGGACAGGTGCAGGGGACGATGCCGTTGGGTCTTTGAAAATCACGCACATATTGGACACGCGGCTCCCATTCACTGCTGTATCGAAATGAATAGGCTAATTATGTTCGTATTCATGTAACTAGTACAACTATAAGAACTATGACATCATCAGTATTACAATGATGAAAGTAATAATGACAACATGTGAAAATCAATGATAATACCAGTCATAATAAATAACAATGATTATTCTCATCGTTACTGCTACTACTTTCTCCATTATCCTTTTTGTTACCTGTCTTTTTACTAATCTAATGCAACTACTTGCTCATCTTATACACTTCCTATTCTTTATGTACATGACTGTTTTTTCTTTTCTTTTCTTTTCTTTTCTTTTAGCGATGTGGTTCCTGCCACTTTCTTTTAGCGATGTGGTTCCTGCTGTTTCGACTCTTGCATCCTCGTTCTGGTGAGGACTTCGGATACAAGAGTCAAAATTGGCGATTCACACGCACTAACAGCGTTATACAGTGAGCCTGGATCAAGAGATTATACCCTTGGTGATTATCTGTATTTGGAATTTATGAAAAAAATAGATTTACAAATATCCTACGTTGGGGAAGAGTTAACTAAGTAAAGGTCCATTTCCGTATATAAAGGACATAAGAAGATAAAAAATATACGACATACGCACCTTCGATTAGGCAAGGCCGTAGCTGAAAACTGAACCTGGAAAGGAAGCTTTTTGTTAGACATCTCTAGACCGATTAGATAACTAGTTTCTTTGTGCAACATTTTTTAAGATTCCTTATTTTACTATATGTTGATTAGACTACTAGTTACAGGATGTATTTTGTTCATTTTTTTATATTTCTTATTGATACAGAGGAAATAAACTTACCAATGCAGCGAAAAGCAGAATGGCAACCAGCGTTCTCATATTGTTATTCTGTTCCCCAAAATATTTTGCAAATAATGATTAAAACAGAAACTGTTCTGAAAAAAGGGAAACTCCTCCTGTATGACTCTCCCTCAGAAATGCGGCCGGAGGACTGAATGAACTTAGGATGTTGAAAGCTGTATAATCCACGACGAGATAGATGGCTTTTCTTGCTTGTGACGCAGGTGGGCTTCCTGTCTCGAAGCATTATCAGCCAGACAGCCTACGCTTGCCGTCTCGAAAGGTTAACCACGAAATATATTGATAAGTAATATACCCCCCCCCCCCCCGCCACACACACACACAAACGTACATGCGTATGTTTGAGTGAGGCACGCAATGGGTTCTCTTTACTTGAAGCAGTTAGTATAACTTGAATTTTACAACTGTATTATGTTATTAGTATCCGTTTTTCTCTTCCTTTGATCTTTATTCCTTCCTTCCATAATCCTCCTTTACTTTCTCGTTTTTCCCCCCCCTAATTCTTCATCTGCTTCCTTTCCTTCCCACATCACTCCCATCTCCCGGACAGCTTTATCGGTACATGGAAAAGCTCACGTCGCATTCCTCATATTCTGTTCCGAGTTCCTCCTGTCGAAATGTCACCAAGATTATAACAGGACGCTTCTCTTGATAAGCAAGAAATCGTAGTTCTTCAGAAATTTGATAATTTGACATGACATTTTGACTTGTTGGAGTAAATTTTTTTCTTTATGATATTTAAGGTGCTGATCAGAGTCGACCAAATCTAAAATGTTTGTTGGTTAGAAAATGGTATCGTGCTTAAAGATTTAATAGAGTGTACATGCAGCAGTGTGATAGATAGTTCATAGACATGACGAGTCATAGCCGGAATGAGCGTCGATAGTCAATTTTCCTGTATCTGTTTGTATGTGTAAACACAAGCACATATCTAAACGCACTCACAACACACACATGCAACCACACACACACACATCCGTGCCCACACGCATGCAAGCGCATACCCACATGCACTCAACATACAGAGATACAGACTCATGTACCCTTAAATACCGAAATACACGGTCTCACTTTCCCTTCCTCCCTCCCTATCTTTCGTTATTCTAGTTCAGCTAACTTTTTTTGTCTTCAACTATTATTTTGCGATTCCTAATTCCCTAGTGTGATTTAAGTCAGTACAGTCACGAACAAAAGTCGTACTTAAGTCCTCCTAACCTAAGCGTCAATGTTCACAGAGACAGCATTTGAAACACGTCTGACAAGAATCTTACTGTGACTGTAGTTCCCTCTACCTCCAAGCATACCAGTCAACACTGCCATTGTGAGAGCCGCCAACTTCGACTCTCGTATCCGAAACACAAGTTCTTTACTTGTATTAGCATGTTTCGGATACAAGGATCGAAACTGGCGGTCCACACGTTGGCAACGCTGAGTTGTGACGTTGGTAGTGAAGGGGACAATATCTAAAAAAAATGTTGCCGAAACGAATACATCATAGTTTTACGAAAAAGAGGTTACAAAATACAATATTCAATGCCACTAAATTTATTATATACAATACAACAATTTACACCATTTATATACATGAATAATCCAACAACAAACACAATCTTTCATTGTCTCGTTCACTTAATTCATACTTAAAGCACAAAATCAACATAGGAAGGGAAAGCCCACTGTAGGCCTATTTACCTTCAAACTCAAGAAGAAAAATAAATTTACAAAAGAATACACTGGTATGTCCTGATAATGCCTAGAAATGTCTTCTCTCAAAACATCCAAGACTTATTTCTAAATATAAAAGCACCCTTACAAACAGGGTTGTCAAAACAAACACACAACAAAATGACAGGAATTACAATACACTGAAACGAAGAAAAATAATGCACACACAAGCAAAGAAATGGTTAAGAAATGTGTACACAGAGTGACAGGCTCAACCCATACACAAAAAAACAGCATAAAGGTAAGGGCGCTCAAGATATTGATTTCACACGGTAGCGAGCTGTTGAGCAATGCACATCCTTTTCATGAATAAGGCACTTTTCAATTCACCATTGCTATTACTATTGTCTTTATCATCCTTGTCGTATCTTCAAAACAAATCTCTTCCACTGCAGACACATTCTAAAGTCAATTCACTTTTGTCTTTCAGTGTTCATTGCTTTGGTTTACAGTTTTGTTTTATGGTATACTTGATTTTTGACAACTTAGTGTGATTACACTATAATATGGCAAATTTCTCTGTATTTTATTCTGCTTCACTGTGCATTCTCATAAGTAATCACAGTTCTTAATATACATAAATATATATATATATACATATATATATATATATATATATATATATATATATATATATATATATATATATATATATATATATATATATATATATGTGTGTGTGTGTGTGTGTGTGTGTGTGTGTGTGTGTGTGTGTGTGTGTGTGTATATGTGTGTATGTATATGTTTGTACATATATATTTATATACATATATGTGTATGTATATACACGTGTATACGTATATATGTGTGTGCGTGTGTTGCATGTGAATGTGTATATGTGTATGTATGCACATTTATTTGTAACTTCATAATTGTAGCACACCAGGAAAGTTTACATATATTTTTTTTCTGGAATTATACAGTAGAGAAAACCAAGACCAGAAAATCCATTAATCACTTATCACAGGTATAATTTACGACTAATACACTATCAACATTTTTTGTGACAATACTTCCAAATTTCCAAATATCTGCCAAAACAACAAAATCTTTCATCAATGCAATTATTCACCCTTTTTGAGATGAAAAAAAATATTTACAGCTCATCATATATATCTATAAAACACAAAATATCGTTATCTACAGAAATGATAATGTGATACAAACCATTCACGCATTAATATTATCAGGTAATTCTTCGATAAAATTATGAATACAAGATATACATTAATTACAAAACTCCAAGGAAGAAATGGGAACACGAGGTAACAGTTATTCTGTCCCTGTCTCGTCTCATGAAATGTATATACATCTTTTAAGCTTGGAACATCTGCTCCAAGGAAAATGACATCCCAGACGTCAGGAAGTCCATACATCATTAACAATCAGTCTGAGGTAAATTGATATATAAGAAAACAAAATATATATTGCCTCTGTAACCCCCTGTTGGAAGTTAGAATATGACTTGCTTCTCTTTCCTCTAATAAAAATAAAAAAAAGGAAAGAAAAAAAAATCAAGGTTTTCATATGACTTCTAAATGAAAAGAAATATTGCAACTTGGTACGTTTTTTCACTTTTAACTGATATGATGATTTTTCATGGCACTAATAGTACTACAAGTAAATCCTCATCTTGAAACGCATGTAAAAGATAAAGAAGAGGATATATATATATATATATATATATATATATATATATATATATATATATATATATATATATATATATATATATATATATATATATATATACATATACATATATATACATATACATATATATACATATACGTAGTTAGATAGAAAGAAATATAGATAAAAACAGATAGATAGACAGATAGACAGACATTGATATGTATGTATGTATGTTTATATGTATATATATATATATATATATATATATATATATATATATATATATATATATATATATATATATATATATACATATATATACACATATGATATATATACGCATACAAAATACATTGTGCGCTACAACTTTTGAAAACATAGAGAGCTAATGGGACACACATAACATAAAAGTTGTTTGGTATCTCGGATGAGGATTTAACCACGCATAAACAAACGTTGGCATCAGAAGTCTGATAACATTCAAATCTTAAAAGCTCATTACCCTCCGTGTTAAGTATTTCATTATGTCGAAGTCGCGTCACTCTCAACACCACGACTGACTGGGACTGTGGTCGAGGTCGACAGTCGAGGCTGACGTCATCCCGCTGACGGCTGACAGGCCTGACAGCCCACTAAGCCGATGGCTGTCCAGTTCCGCTTGCAAGTCATCGTCTCTTTTGATTCTCATGTTCACGCCGTTGATTTTCTCCAAGTCTGCGGCCTCTGTGACTTCGTCCATCAGCTTCAGCTCCGCCCCGGCAGACATGTTGACGTAGGAGTTGTCCGCCTGCGCAGGGCCGAAGCCGGCGTCGAGCTCCTCCTCGTTCTCGGACGAGCCCGAGCGCGAGGGCCCCGCGAACACCTTGTTGCTGGAGGGCCTGAGGTAGTGCTGCGGCGACACGACGCTCTGCAGGCTGGGCAGAGGGAAGGTGAAGGTGACGCTGGTCGGCGACTCGGGCACCGGCGACGCGTGGCTCGTGCCCGGCGGCGACGACGAAGGGGGTGCCTGGGCGGCCGCGATGAGGCTGGTCGACGACGGAGGAGCCTCGGCGGACGACGAGAACCTCGGCCAGTCCGAGGACGCCTCGCTCCGCGGGGACACGGGCGGCGACGTGGGCGAGGGCTCGTTCACCAGCTGCAGGTACTGCTGGTGCCTCCTGAGCGGGGCCGTCAGGGGCAGCGTGCTCGCCCCCGAGAAGGAGTCGCACTCCTCGGCCTCGCCTCCCAGGGCTCGGTCCTCGGGACCGCTACCTCTCCTCGGGCCCAGGTTGGCCACGCTGCTGCTCGTCTGCGTGGACCACGAGTTGGTCGCGGAACAGCCGTTGGCGCTCACCAGGGAGTTGCCTGTGGAGACGCCAACCGCGGCTTTTAGGACAAGGACATTCGCTATCTAATACAGTGAGCATCAGAATTCATATGAATATTATAAAATAATATGACAATTCTTTGGTCAATGACGCAAACGAAATTAAAATTCCATTCTACCATGACAAAAAAAAATCAGGCAACACTAGTACACAAAACAAATTGAAAGAGGGCGTTTAGGTTAGCTGAAAAACAATAAACTTCATCCCACCTGAATTGGTATTGTGGTTCTCATCTCGATCTACAGCATAAGCCAGGTTATCTAAGCCATATGGACCTAGAATTTCGAACACAAGAGAGAAAAGAGAAAATTCAAGCTTTAGCATTAGGTCGGCAGAGGCATTCTCATCACACGTCGAGTCATGTTTTAATAGATTTTCTTGCCATTATTTGTCCGTGCATTTGGGTTCGTGGTTGAAAAAATAATTAGTGTTTATTAATCATAAGAAAACCAAAAATGATCAAATGAAGAGCTCATAACATAAATTATTGTCAGTGAAAATGCAAAAGGATTTTACATGCTAAAAGTTGAAGCCATTGTCTCCATTCATGAAGCAGCAAATATAAAACTGAACTTTAAAAAAATCAATATTCTTTAGCCATGCAGTATTTCTATTCCTTATGATTATATACACATACAAAAAATCCAATCATCTTTATAAAAATAATGCTAGACAAGAGTTATAAGCACATCAGCAAAGCAAAATAAAATAAATAAATAAACAAACATATAAAAACGAATCATAATTATTCCACAGCATCGACCATGAACAAATCACGTAAAATGCACAGCATATTAGTATCACACAAAGAAAATCTTGCAAACCACTCACCATTTGACCCAATATAATGCACGTTGTGAACGGCAAGGGCAGGCAAGGCGGAAATGGTCTCCTCCAACATAAGCAAGGTACTCAGGCATTCCCTGAACGTCGGTCTGTTCTCTGGGCTGTAACTCCAGCACCTTTCCATCAGTTTATGCCTGGTGGAGGATCAGAGAAAATGTGGGGTTAAACAAATGAAAAAAAATAGTGATATCTGAGTTAAAAAGGTCTAACTACTATAGCTACAAATATGGGTTGACTCTTATTAGAGGTGCGAATATAGTTTGATAAAAGCAGTGTAACTAATAACAATTGTGCAGATATGCAATAAAGGTCGAACACTTCTAATATGCGTGAATATTTTATTATTATTTAGGTAATAATTGATGTATATTATTGTGATATAAAATATTTAAGGAATTACCCTAATCGCAAGAAAAAACACAATAAGAAGAAAGAGGAGGAGGAAGAGAAGGAGGAGCAATCGGAAGCGAAAAATAAAAAGAAGGATGAGGGAAGAGGGTGATGATGCTGAGAGCAAAAGATACTCATAGCACTAAACGACAACACTAATAATGACTCACAGTTCCTCGGGGCAGTTAGGGGGCCTGTTCAAGCGTCCTCCGCTGCGCACATAGTGAAGGACCTCGAGGTTCGTCCGCGCAGGATACGGCTGTTGTCCCAGCGTCAGGATCTCCCACAGAAGGACACCAAACGCCCAGACGTCGGAGTGGCTGGTAAACACGCCGTCAACTAAGGACTCCGGGGACATCCACCTCACGGGTAAGAGTCCCTCGCCCTAGAGGATAGAGGGAAGGAGGTTGAGTTTATAGAAGTTTTTGAAGTTTGAAGTATCTGAAGGGAGGGGGGGAGGTTAGAAAATATAAGTCATACATTTATAGAAGTTTTTGAAGTTTGAAATATCTGAAGGGAGGGGGGGAGGTTAGAAAATATAAGTCATACATGCTTGATTAAAAATATAACAAATCTATACCTCTTTTACGACGCAAGATAAATGGCGACGATAATTTTCTTTGCCTTTTTTATAATTTTCTTTTCCCCTTTTGAGCTAGAGCGAACCTTACCTCTTTCCTGTAGTAGTCGTTCTTGTAAATATCCCGCGCAAGGCCGAAGTCTCCGATCTTCACGATGCGCGATTCGGGGTCGGTTGTGGACACGAGGCAGTTCCGAGCGGCCAGGTCGCGGTGGACGTAGTGCATCTCCTCGAGGTACACGCACCCCTTGGCCACGTCCACGCACATCGCCACGAGGTCAGCTAAGGTCAAGCCACATTCGGCCTTTGAGAGGAAAGAGAAGGAGCGAGTTAGAAAATATATATCAATGATGACGAACAATGCATCATTAATATATACATTATAACATAGAAAACAGCTTAATAGTAATAATAAATATAATAATAATAATGATAAATAACAATAGTAAATGGCGATGGTACTAATAGTACTAATAACGATAACAATGGTAATGATAATAATGATAAGAATAATAACAATAATATAATAATAATAATAGTAATAACAACAAGAACAATAATAATAATAACAGTAACGATAATAATAATAATAATAATAATAATAAAGATAATAACAAAAACAACAACAATAATAAATAGAATAAAAACAATAACAGTAGAAATAAAAATGGCCTAGGAAAAAATAACAAATAGACACGTACCCCTCGACTCGTGCGTAAGTAGGACAGTAAATCGCCTCCTTCCATGAGCTCAAGGATGAGGAAGAAGGGGTCGTGGTCGGTGCACACAGCGAGCAGACGGAGGATGTGCTCGTGCTGGAAGTGACTCATCAGCTGAGCCTCCTTCAGGAATTCTGCTTTCTCAGCCTCCGTGGCGCCCTTGCGGAGAGTCTGTGGGGAGGGGGGGGGGTTATGATAATAGTATTGATAATGATCATAGGAAGAATGGTGAAAATAATTGTGGTGGTGGTGATGATGATGATGATGATGATGATGATGATGATGATGATGATGATGATGATGATGATGATGATGATGATGATGATAATAATGATGATGATGATGATGATGATGATGATGATGATGATGATGATGATGATGATGATGATGATGATGATGATGATGATGATGATGATGATGATGATGATGATGATGATGATGATGATGATGATGATGATGATGATGATGATGATGATGATGATGATGATGATGATGATGATGATGATGATGATGATGATGATGATGATGATGATGATGATGATGATGATGATGATGATGATGATGATGATGATGATGATGATGATGATGATGATGATGATGATGATGATGATGATGATGATGATGATGATGATGATGATGATGATGATGATGATGATGATGATGATGATGATGATGATGATGATGATGATGATGATGATGATGATGATGATGATGATGATGATGATGATGATGATGATGATGATGATGATGATGATGATGATGATGATGATGATGATGATGATGATGATGATGATGATGATGATGATGATGATGATGATGATGATGATGATGATGATGATGATGATGATGATGATGATGATGATGATGATGATGATGATGATGATGATGATGATGATGATGATGATGATGATGATGATGATGATGATGATGATGATGATGATGATGATGATGATGATGATGATGATGATGATGATGATGATGATGATGATGATGATGATGATGATGATGATGATGATGATGATGATGATGATGATGATGATGATGATGATGATGATGATGATGATGATGATGATGATGATGATGATGATGATGATGATGATGATGATGATGATGATGATGATGATGATGATGATGATGATGATGATGATGATGATGATGATGATGATGATGATGATGATGATGATGATGATGATGATGATGATGATGATGATGATGATGATGATGATGATGATGATGATGATGATGATGATGATGATGATGATGATGATGATGATGATGATGATGATGATGATGATGATGATGATGATGATGATGATGATGATGATGATGATGATGATGATGATGATGATGATGATGATGATGATGATGATGATGATGATGATGATGATGATGATGATGATGATGATGATGATGATGATGATGATGATGATGATGATGATGATGATGATGATGATGATGATGATGATGATGATGATGATGATGATGATGATGATGATGATGATGATGATGATGATGATGATGATGATGATGATGATGATGATGATGATGATGATGATGATGATGATGATGATGATGATGATGATGATGATGATGATGATGATGATGATGATGATGATGATGATGATGATGATGATGATGATGATGATGATGATGATGATGATGATGATGATGATGATGATGATGATGATGATGATGATGATGATGATGATGATGATGATGATGATGATGATGATGATGATGATGATGATGATGATGATGATGATGATGATGATGATGATGATGATGATGATGATGATGATGATGATGATGATGATGATGATGATGATGATGATGATGATGATGATGATGATGATGATGATGATGATGATGATGATGATGATGATGATGATGATGATGATGATGATGATGATGATGATGATGATGATGATGATGATGATGAGATGATGATGATGATGATGATGATGATGATGATGATGATGATGATGATGATGATGATGATGATGATGATGATGATGATGATGATGATGATGATGACGATGATGATGATGATGATGATGATGATGATGATGATGATGATGATGATGATGATGATGATGATGATGATGATGATGATGATGATGATGATGATGATGATGATGATGATGATGATGATGATGATGATGATGATGATGATGATGATGATGATGATGATGATGATGATGATGATGATGATGATGATGATGATGATGATGATGATGATGATGATGATGATGATGATGATGATGATGATGATGATGATGATGATGATGATGATGATGATGATGATGATGATGATGATGATGATGATGATGATGATGATGATGATGATGATGATGATGATGATGATGATGATGATGATGATGATGATGATGATGATGATGATGATGATGATGATGATGATGATGATGATGATGATGATGATGATGATGATGATGATGATGATGATGATGATGATGATGATGATGATGATGATGATGATGATGATGATGATGATGATGATGATGATGATGATGATGATGATGATGATGATGATGATGATGATGATGATGATGATGATGATGATGATGATGATGATGATGATGATGATGATGATGATGATGATGATGATGATGATGATGATGATGATGATGATGATGATGATGATGATGATGATGATGATGATGATGATGATGATGATGATGATGATGATGATGATGATGATGATGATGATGATGATGATGATGATGATGATGATGATGATGATGATGATGATGATGATGATGATGATGATGATGATGATGATGATGATGATGATGATGATGATGATGATGATGATGATGATGATGATGATGATGATGATGATGATGATGATGATGATGATGATGATGATGATGATGATGATGATGATGATGATGATGATGATGATGATGATGATGATGATGATGATGATAACCCCTCCCCCCTCCTCCCCCCCCCCCCCCCCCCCCCCCCATAAACCAGACAGAACAGCAAGAAGGCAATGAAGACGAAGGATGTTGGAATGGTGGAAGCGAGGATTGTGGGCAGGTCCGTCTGGGGCAGCATCTTGGGGCCGATCACGGTGTCAATGAGGTTCTCCATGCCCCACGGCCCGACGCCGAGCTCGTTGATGGCCCGAGCGCGGAAGATGTAGCTGGAGGACTCCTCGAGGCCCTCTATCAGCCAATAGTTTTCTGGAACGCGAGGAATATCCGTTGTGAATGGAACTAAGTGGCGTTCAAAAGTTAGCTTACTAAGTTTCTTTATTTCACTTGCTAAAGTTATTTTCTCACAACTTCTCGATAGTTTCCTCGTATATCATAAAAAAATCTTAATAATGTCCCTCATAGGTCATGGCCACAACCCCCACTCCTACTTACCCGTCGAATTGTACACCGTCGTGAAGGTCCTATTCCCATCCAGCTGGTCGGAGGTGTAAGGAGCCGCCTGCAGTGTGTACGCGATGACAGGCGCCCCGTTGGACTCCGCCTCAGTCCACCACACTCGCAGGCCCACGCTGGACGAGAGGGCGCTCGTCTGCCGCATCACCTGCCCGGGTTCGCCTGGGACCTCGCCTAAGGATGTTCAAG